TCATTTTGTCATCTGATGTGATTTTCCTGTGTTGTAAATCCTACCTGTATAATGTTAATGAGGCAGGACTCAGTCTACAAGGTAACTTGTGTCTTGAGTCAATATCTTTTGAGATATAAAAGAGAAGCGAGTAGAGAGTCAGGGGGATCTCATACCACCAAGAAAGGGGCTCCAGGAGCACAGCACATCCTTTGGACTGGGGTTCCCTGCACTGAGAAACTCCTAGACCAGGGGAAGATTGATGACAAGGACCTTCCTCCAGAACCGAGAGAAAGCCTTTCCCTGGAGCTGGCACCCTGAATTTGGACTTCTAGCCTCCTAGACTGTAAGAGAATAAATTTCTGTTTGTTAAAGCCATCCACTTGTAGTATTTTTGTTATAACAGCACTAGATAACTGAGACAATGCTACTGAATTGTTCACCTTAAAATGGTTCATTTTATGTTCTGCGAATTTTACCTTAATAAAGAAAAATAGTCTGCTGCTTAGAGATGTCACAGGGTTAGGAGAAACTCCAGTGCCCTGGTGTTCAGAAATGTTTTCTTTTGTGTTATGCTAAACCACACTCTCTAATGTGGTAACCACTAGCCACATGTGGCTATTTAAATTTAAATTAATTAAAATTAAATTCAATGAACCAGACTTAATGATCTGACTGAGACTGGAGGAACCCCCAAAGCCATGGCCCCTGGATGCTCTGTTAACCCAGAACTAAAACCATTCCCGAAGCGCTTTAAAGATTAGACTGGACTATAAAACATAATATAATACTCGTGAAGAGTGTGCTTCTTGGTTCAAGCAGATACATGAGACCAAATTGGCGGCTGCTGTCCAGAGGCAGGATGAAAAGGGGCAGGAACTTGTTGAATGGACACAAGAAACCAGGCTGGAAAGGGGGAGTGTGCTGTCACATGATAGGGATTGCTATTAGTGTCACGTAACAATATGTGTATAAATTTCTGTATGAGAAATTAACTTGAGCTGTAAACTTTCACCTAAAGCACAATAAAAATAATAACAATAAATTAAATGAAAGATTCTGTTCCTCATTCAGACAAGCTACATTTCAAGTGCTTAGTAGCCACATGTGGCTAGTGGCCACCATATTGGACTGTGGAGATATAGAACATTTCCA